CTCCGTGACGTCAGGCGCGCGCGCCGCTGGGTGCGGTGTCGGTGTGTCCGGCCCCGCCATGCTCCGCCTGGGCCCCGCGCTCCTGGCCCGCCTGGCCCGCGCCCCGCTCCGCGCCTCGCTGCGGCCGTGCGGGGTGGCGGCGGCGGGAGGCCATGGCGAGGAGCAGGAGCGCTTCGTCTTCCTCGAGTACGAGCCGGAGCCGGCTGAGAGGGCGGCGGCGGCGGCGGCGCTACACCGGCTGCGGGAGCTGAAGCCGCGCCGGGAGCTGAAGCTGAAGCCGCGGCGGGCGCGGGGCGCACCGTCGGCAGTGCCGAGCCTGTCCGACCCGTCGGTGCCGCCGAGCGGCGTGAGCTGCTCGGGCTGCGGGGCCGAGCTGCAGTGCGCGGACGGCGGCGCGGCGGGCTTCGTGCCGGCCGAGAGGTACCGCAGCCTCCTGTCCGAGGGCCCCGCGGCGCTGCGCGGCGCCGTGTGCCAGCGGTGCTGGGCGCTGGCGCACCACGGCAGCGCGCTGCGGCTGCGGCTGCCGCCCGAGCAGCACCGCCGCGTGGTGAGCGCGGCCCTGCGCCGCCCGCCGCGCCACGGCCGCGGGCCGCTGCTGCTCTACGTGCTCGATGTGATGGAGCTGCCCGACCCCGTGCTGCCGCAGCTGCCGGCGCTGCTGGGCCCCGACGTGCCCGCCGCGGGAGTGCTGGTGGTGGGCAACAAGGTGGACCTGCTGCCCGCAGACTGCCGCGGGCACCTGGGGCGGCTGCGGCAGCGGGTGGCGGCGGCCTGCGCCCGGGCCGGGCTGCGGGGAGCCGCGCTGGTGGACATCCGCCTGGTGAGCGCCAAGACCGGCTACGGCATGGAGGGGCTGGTCAGCCGGCTGCAGCGCTCCTGGAAGTGCGCCGGCGATGTCTACCTGCTGGGCGCCACCAACTCCGGCAAGTCCACGCTCTTCAACACGCTGCTGCGCTCCGACTACTGCAAGTCCCGCGCCCCCGACATCATCGACAGGGCCACCGTGTCTCCGTGGCCAGGTGAGTGCACTGCTTGGCCCTCTGTAGCACGGGTAGTGGGGAATGCGGGATGTGCAGAAAACAGTGAGCTGTGCGCCTCTGGGCTGCTCTCGGCCACCCCTGCAGCAGGAGAACCTGTCACCAAAGCAGTAGCTGCCACCCTGAGCTCCTCCGTGGTGAGCAGCAAGAACCAGAGGTGTGCCATACTTCATATTATCACCTGTGAGGAGTGGCTGAAGTGTTTAACCCGGAGAGAAGGGGGTTTGGGAGATGTTATCACTCTGCATCTACCCAAAAGAGGTTGTAGCCAGGCAGGAGTCAGTCTCTTCTCCAAGGCAGCCAGTGACAGGAGAAGGGGATGTAGCCTTAAGATGCACTAGGGCAGCTTTAGGTTGGATATTAGCATGAATTTCTTCACCAGAAAGATAATTACACATTGGAATGGATTGCCTAGAGAGACGATGGAGTCGCTGTGCCTGAATGTGGCACTCAGTGCCGTGGTCTAGTCAACGTGGTGATGATCTCAGAGGTCTTTTCCAGCTTAATTGATCCTGTGATTCCTCACAGAGGGCAGCAGGAGTGGGATGCATGTGCTGAGGATACTGCACGTCCTGTAGCGCTAGGAGGCTTGTTAAACCAGAGAGGGTCTGTGTGCACCCCTGCCAGTTAGCATGGCACCTGATGTGCATGGCTTCCCTGTCCCTATGCATTAGAGGTGTCCTCCAGTCTGGAGAGGCCGGGAGGTGGAGTGGTGAGCACCTCTAGGACAAACCAAGCTGTCTGGAGTTGAGGCTTGCCAAGTCAGCCTTGGCACCACTCAGCTTTGAGACCCTTTTATCCAAACTATAGGTGAAAACGGGTCTTAAGCAGGTGGATGGCTTGTTTTTGCTTCCCCAAGTTGGGAGGCTTGTACTTTGTGGGAGCAGCTGTAGTTCCACCTCTGAGTTTGTGTTACTGGGTTTCACCAAAAAGTTAGAGAAGCAGTGTTTTTGTAATCTTGTTCGTCAGAGCTAAAATGTGTCAAGTAGTCAGAGATCCAAAAGTGCCTTCTGTTTGTTTTTCAAGGAACAACACTGAACCTGTTGAAATTTCCAATTATTAACCCTACATGTGACAGGATATTCAGAAGGCAGGAGAGGCTAAAAGAGGAGGCGACAAAAACAGAAGATCAGCTAAGCAGTGAAGAAAAAAAGTACCTTAATCAACTTAAAAAGCAAGGTTACCTAGTGGGTGAGTAAAGATGTTATCCTTCTGCTCCTAATGAAAACACTGCATTACACAAACGTTATTTTGACCAATGTTTGCTCCCAGATTAATGGGGGCAAGACCTCTGTCTCCTCCATAAGCAGCATCATTAGTAGTTTTGAGTACCTGTCAGCTGCTGTAGTAGCAGAGGGTTCCTCTGTGCAATGCATCTCCTATCTGAACAAGGCTGGCAAATTCTGATAGCTTAGTAATTTGCAAGGATATCACAGTATGGGCTATTTCTTGTTCCCAAATAAAGAAAATAAGTTCAATTTTAAATAATCACATTTGGGCTGCAGGCTACAGGGGTTGTACATCATTTTAGTATGTATTCAAAAGAGGAGGTTACCAGAAGATAGCTCTGGTTTTCAGATAATTCTGTGTTTAGCAGTCTGAGGCACTGAGAATAGTAGGCATTCTGCTTTACTATAAATTGGATGTAACTAAGTGTCTGTGATCTGGTCCCTGCTGAGATTCTGGGGCATGAGGAGTGCTAAGAAAGAATTATAGAAGGGATTTCTTATAATTTTGGCTTTTGAACACACAAATTTCTAGCCACATAGTGTCTCTATCACCTTTATGCTACTCATGTGCATCTCTTTTAAGCCATGAAAGGGGCAGATGTTTGATTGAAGGAAAGCAAGTTAATAAGTAAATTACCAGGAAAACCTTTCATTTTAATCCAGGAAGAGTTGGAAGAACATTTCAACAGCAGAAGTCTAGTGCTGAGATTGACTTCGACCCTGACACACTGTCCTACAGCATGGATGAAGATCCTAGAGATTCCCCTAAGAAGTTTGAGGAAAGGGAGGAGTTCACTCACAACGAAGTGAAGGATGCTCGGTGGTGTTTTGACACTCCAGGAATTGTAAAGGAAGACTGTGTAGGTACTCTGTGATGCTGTGTTTTGTGGTGACAGGGTTTGGGAGGACTGTTCTGCCTTAGCTGTGCCTGTGGGAGAGTGCTTCTGCTGTAGTCCTGGCATTAAGATTCTCTTAGCTTGGGAATTGTATTAAGATAAGGTTTGTATTTACTCGAGAGGAGTTCATGTGGTAATGCAGTTGCATTTCTGAGTAGTGCAATACTGCCAGCTTTGCAAAGGAGCTGCAGGGCTGCATCACCAAGTTTCCACAACCTCTGAACCAAGGGAAGTAAGCGAGAGTAATCTTAGCAAGTTCATACCAGCATCACTCAATGGAGCTGGCACTTCTTCAGCTCTCCCAGCCTACGGAAGAAGGTGGAGCTTAGGAGGATAACCAGAGTTGTATGACCAAACCACATCTTAGAGAAACATTCTCCTGAAGCTAGGAGGACCTGCAGTGTTGCTGCTGTGGCTCCAACATGTCAGGCCTTTGTCAGTAGAGCAACGCCCTAATGAAGCCAGTGCTCACAAGGTGCACATTTCTAAAATAGGCATGTTTTGATTTTTGGTCTTTTTAATAGCCATGCAGAACTGCAGGTCAGCTTCTGGGGAAGATTTAATAGTACAGCAGACAGGAAGGTTCTGCAGAGAATGAAGTGCAAGGACTGTGCTGAGATTTTACTGCTGGAGTTCAGGTGCTGCATTCATGAACACTAGGAAGACTCCTGGTTTTCTAGTGATGTATTTGTCAGACCATAACCTGTTTTAGTAACCTGCACTTTGGTCTCTGATAGCCAGTGTAAAGACTGGCATGAGCTTAGAGACCTGGTTTGGTAACTTGAGACTCTGTGTGTTCTTTCCCTTCTTCTGGAGTTTAATACTTGTGGAAAATACTTCCTGCATCCAGAAATGCTTCTGATTCTGATTATCCTCGTGCTCTCCTTTGGAGAGCTCCATGCCAAGTTCCAGATCAAATTTTGTTCCTGCAGTCAATGCTCAGTGTGAGTGGAGGACAAGCAGATTGTCTGTGGCAGATTTTGGCAGGGAGATTCTTCCTCTTTGTCACTTACTGTGTGGACCAGAATCGAACTGTTGTGTCAGATGTTCTTGATGTTGCTTTGATTGGTCTTTTTTCTCTATCAATAAAATGCCAATACTAACTTTGTTGTTCCCATTGAAACATCTGGAATGAGTTATGACAATTTATTTTGCAGGTTTTGAATCTCCTAACAGAGAAGGAAGTAAAACTGGTTTTGCCATCACATGCCATTGTTCCACGGACCTTCATTCTCAAGCCAGGAATGGTTTTGTTTTTAGCAGCCTTGGGACGTATAGACTACTTAGAGGTAAAGGAAGAAAGGATTTTGGGAGCAGCTGCTTCATCTCTTACTGTAGTACCAGCCATAAAAGACTTTTTGGGTAGCTTTCCCAGACCCTTTCATTGGTGCTCTGGAGATGATGAATCAGTTACTGAATCACTGCATGAAGTCAGAATGCCTTGGGATGGGTAGTTGAAAGGTTTGTTACTTGGTACCAGCATGCAATATTACATTGTGTATAATGGGAGCTGCTTTTGAATGCCTACCAACATCTTCAGTTTAATGTGCTTCCCATGACATACAGAGAGGCATGAGGGAGGGAGGAGAATGTCAGAATTAACTGGGAAAATAGGTGGGTTTCCTCATTTCTGTGTTTTGTGAAACTGTCTGCTAAGAGAGAAAAGCATAGACATTTTTTCTTTCCTGCCAGACCTCTGAAGAACTTGCCTGAGGAAGCAATTAATTGCACGTGTATTTTAGTTTCTGTAAAAAGTATTTTTCAGATGTGTTGAAATAATTGCTAATAATTTCTTCCATTTATTAAAACTCCCATGCCATACACCTTTATTGAACTGTGTGGAGTTGACCTCCCGTGTTGCTTCCTCTGTAAGGGGCATTAAAACATTAGACATTATCGTAAGTCTTAGATCATTTTCTCAGTAGCTTGCCCTGTTTTAGGGGTGTGTATGGCTATTCCTTTGTTTCAGTCTGCTTTCCAAGATCACCACAGAAATGTTGAATTGGTACTTTGCTAAGGACACTCCTGACCTGCTGGAAGAAAACCAGAAAGGTGGAGGGGGCAGGATTCTGTAAAGTAAAAAATGTACTGGTATGGCAGGAGCACACATCAATGTATCAGTCTTGTGTATCTATATCCTGAGATTTTGGAGGACAGTTGTGCTCAGGTCATGACAGGAGCTCCTGCCTCAGCTTAGACTTTTGAGCTTGAAGGAATTCCTGCCCTTATTTCTGGCTGCTAGCAATGTTTGGAGAGATCCCTTCTCTCTCTGACCTTGTTTTCTCTTCCTGCAAATGTGATGAGAGTGCCTGCTGAAATTGCTCCACCAACTCTGCATAGCTTGAGAGCAGCTAGAACCAAGTCTAGTAGAATGAGCACTGTGTGCTAGAAATGTAGAGTGATAGGAGAAGAAGCACCAGACCAGATGTCCATCACCTCTTGCACTGAATAACCACACTGAGTTTGTTCTTGTGAATTAAATGAGAGCAAAGATCTCTCTTGGATGATTTACCTGAGCTGAGCAGCTGTGCTGGCCGTAAATGTGGCATTGGGGGTGCTTTGAGGCAGGATGGTGAAGCTGTGGGTCTTTTCTTCTGGAAACTCAAATCCCAGTTTTATATAAACCCTGGCGGTTGTCATTGGCAGAGGCAAGAACCTCTCAAACAGGGAGGGGGCATCCTGGTTGAGAACCAGGCAGGTTTTCAACATGCAGAAAAGAAATGGGGCAGGAGAGAGCAATTCAGGGCTGCTTTTCTCTTAGCATAATTAACATCCTTTTGGTATTTATTTCAGGGAGAAAAGCCTGCCTGGTTTTCTGTCTTGGCTTCTAACCTGTTGCCAGTCCATGTTACTACACTGAGTAATGCAGACACTGTCTATGAGAAGCATGCAGCCCAAGAGTTCCTAAAGGTAAGGGGAGGTGCTGGGGGGAGCTTGTGGCTGCAGGTAGGCAGGACCCCTGTCTGGAGCACAACTGACAGGGAATATCCACAGGTATCACGAGTTTGGGACTTGTGCAGTGGGTGAGTGGAGATGTGCAGTGTGGAGCAGTCTTGCACAGACTGAAGTGTGTTAGGAAAGAGCACTCAAGATGATGCATTTTCAGCAGTTTCTGCTTTTAGCATTCAGCCTGATAATATTTGCAGTATTCTGCTTACTCATACTTTGCTTTTCTTGAACAGCCTTAAAGTGCAGCCAGCAATGGGGATATTTTCCATGACAAACCTGCAGACTGGGGTTTCCAAACAGATTGCAGCTGAAAAATTTACATTTCTTATTTTTTCCCTTCTGGATCTTCTGCATATATCTTCATCTCTTGGTGGTCTGACTTTTTCCTTGGTATGGCAGTGTTCTGTGTAGTACTTGCAGATTGTTGGGAGATGGGGTGAGCTGTCCCTGTCCTGGTATTTCCATTCCTGTGCACATGGAGAACAAGTGCTGTCACATCAAGGCAGCTGGTCTGATCCACCAGCTGCATCCTGCAGCGGGCGCTCCATCTTTGCTCACCTCCCACAAGGTTCCTCTGGATGTCATCCTGACTCTGTTTCTGACAAACCTGAAATAACTCCTGGAGGTTATTCAGTCCAGCTCTTAACTGGCTAACAAATGTTTGATGTTTTTATTCTCCCTTGTGCCTTGCTTACCAGTTTGAGGTAGGAGTGCTGAAGAATCTCTTGAGTGTTAAATAATGGGCACTCCATCTTCGCTCACCTCCCACAAGGTTCCTCATCCTGACTCTGTTTCTAACAAACCTGAAATAACTCCTGGAGGTTATTCAGTCCAGCTCTTAACTGGCTAACAAATGTTTGATGTTTTTATTCTCCCTTGTGCCTTGCTTACCAGTTTGAGGTAGGAGTGCTGAAGAATCTCTTGAGTGTTAAATAATTTCCCTGTGTTTTAATCTTAGGTTCCCATGGGTGGGGAAGAGAGAATGAAAGAGTTCCCCCCACTTGTCCCTCAGGACATTACACTGAAGGGAATTGGTACCACTGAGGCAGTTGCAGATATCAAGCTTTCCTCTGCAGGTAATTTAATATTTCTTCATTAGTTTGCTTTGCAGGGTCTGCACCCTGGAAACATTGACGGGAAGAGGTCTCTGAAGGGGTGAAGCTGTATTTCCTGCTCAGAGCAGGACTGTGAACAACACAAAATCATAGCAGCCATGACTTTGTCCAGCTTAAGTGTGGCAGCCTCCAAGAATGGAGATTGGCAGCCATGTTTGTGCAGGATGGCAACATTGGAATACTTTATGTTGTGTCTGCCATACATGTTCTACAGCATCAGGAATGGCTGTGACACTGTCAGCTGTCCAGGTGAGAGGGAAAGGGCCGTTGATTGGAAAGCTTCATGCTTGTGTTTTTATAGTTCCCACCATCCCTTTTGAGTTTACCAGGAAAGAGCTGTGTCTGAGAAGAGTAATGTGGCTTTAGGTGCTGCCTTCTGTTGGGAAAGGGCTGGAGATGACCTTTGAGCTTGGTTTCTCAAGCAACCCCCCAAGGATAGTGTGGTATTTTCTGAGACCCCCCATCGAAGGGAGGAAATGATGAATCTGACTCCATGTTCTTAGAAGACTAATTTATTATTTTATGATCTATGTTATACTAAAGAATACAGAAAGGATACAGACAGAAAGCTAGAAAGATACTAATGAAAAACTCATGACTTTCTCCAGAGCCCTGATATGGCTGGGTGGTGATTGGTCATTAAGTAAAAACAATTCACATGAAACCAATGAAACATGCACCTGTTGGTAAACAATGTCCAAACTGCATTCCAAAGCAGCAAAACACAGGAGACACAAATCAGATAATTATTGTTTTCTTATTTCTCTGAGGCTTCTCAGTTTCCCAGGAGAAGAAATCCTGGGCAAGGGATTTTTCCAGAAAATATGATGGTGACAGGGTAGCTCAGACTTTTAGCCACTCTGGGAGCAGTATTTTGTGTCAGAACCTTGTTTTGATCCTAGGGACTTGTCTTCCTCACTGTCCGTGTTCTCTCTGGCTGTGCAGGCTGGGTGGCAGTGACGGCTCACGCAGAAGAGGAATTGCTGCTCCGAGCCTACACGCCCAAGGGCACTGCGTTGGTGGTGAGGGAGCCTCCCCTTCTGCCTTACATCAGTACCATCAGAGGGGCCAGGATCCCAGGCACTCCTGCCTACAGGACCAAAAAGCCTCCTTCCTTTGTGGAAAACCTGAGAACCACTGGAAGCAGATAGCGCTTTTCATCACCCAAGCAAGGCAGAAGACAGAACAGCCCCTGAAGAACCTTGTGACTTACTGGTATTCAGAAAATGTTGGGACTCATTTTGAAAGGCCAGCAGGCACATTTTGGAAAGCAGGGCTTCAGGGAGCTACACAAGTCCACATGTGATCCAGCTGCTGAACTGCAGCCATTTTGAATGAACTGAGGGGCTGGGACCTAGCTGTGGGAGGAGAAACTGCTTCTCCCTGGGATCTGCATCAATGGGCAGATCCCTTTACCTGTCCCCTCTTGAAATACAGGGTGGAACTCACCTGCCTGACCTGGTCTGACTTTGCTGCTCGTGGAGTAGGTGGCTTCTTGCAGATATGCTCCCTCATGTCAGAAATCATCACCTTGTTCTTAAGGTGTTTCCATAGTTAGGGGGTAGAGGGAGTTGGAAGGAGCAGGGAATGCTCCAGTGTGGGTATGACCCTCCTAGTGGCTGATACTGATTCAACAACATCGACCAGAAGTGTCCTTTCTCTCCAGCATCTGGAGCAGATTGGGGTGTGCAGTATGCTGCTTTAGGACACAGGAAAAGTGATTTAATGAAAAGCAGGTCTGCTCATGCCTGAAGAGGAAAGTTTTGCAATTCACTGCTTTGATTTGGTTTCTGTAGCTTGGGTACAAGTTTTTGAAACCATGGGTATAGAATAAAACTTCTCAAAGATGATCTTTTGCTGACCTAGCTGACAAAGCACTCTTTGTGTGGGTATGAGCATCTTGCTAAATGCATGAAAGCTCCAGTGCAGTAATAAACATGCTCAGTCTGCCAAAGGCAGGCAGACTGTGAGAGACACATGGCCAGTTACTCTTTTTTTGCCTCTTTTTCAGCAGACTATCTTCTAATCTTACCATTTTACTGATGTTTTCCTCAGTCAGTCCATTAGTCTCCAGAGGCAGCTCTGCTATTTTTGGGTCCTTGGCTGTTGTCCTGAAGAAGCCTGGGTGATCAGCAGAAACCATTGGCTCATTCAGCATCCTCTTCTCACTATTGTTGCCTGTGGGATGTATTGGCATTCCTTTACTGAAGCCTGTCCCTTTGCCCTGCTCTTTGTTACCCCCCATTTTCAGCCCAGACCAGCCATGTGGGTCTGTCTGCAGGGCCGCTCTCTTCCCCTCTGTGAGGCTGCCGGGGCCTCCTGTGGAGCCACTTTCTGTGCTCTGCCACTTCCTCAGCTCTTCCCTGCCCTGCACTGCCGCCTCCTTCCCTGCCTCCCACTCTGGGGGCTGGTGAGATGGGGTGGGCCAGGTGGGGTCACAGTGGCTTTGAGAAGCGCTGGGTGCCATGGGGTTTGAAGTTCAGCACTGCCTTGGGGGAGTTCCCTGTCCTTTCTGGGAGCTGCCCAGTTCTCCCTGTGTAGAAAATCAGTTTTTTTATGAAGGTCAGTCTGCTGCCAGGGATTGTGGTTCACGTGTGTTCAGTCTGTGTCTAGAGTTCCTCCTGTACATTAGACAAAATATGTGCACTCTCGCCTTGACTTCTCAGAAAGTCTTTTCTATTTCTTTCTAGAAGAAAAAAACCCCAAAACTATGGCAGCACGTTCCTCACTGCACAAGCTGTGACTCACACAGCTCTCCTGTTTTCCTCTGTTTCTCTGTTGTGAAAGCCAGCACATGTGTGGCCACTCCTGGGGTGTGCTTGGCAAGCATCAGAGCACAGGCAGCAAGCTCCAGAATGTGTTTTTGCCAGCATGGGTATATAGGACTGTAGCTGTCTTCCTGGCTGGATTTCTTTGTGCTGTTGGCAGGCCTCACATTTGGCTGCCAAAATTACTGAAGGAGTTACCAGCAGGACTGGTGTGAGGATTATCTGTTTTAGCTGTGCTAATCTTCACCATGCTGTGATTTTCAATCTCCCTTTCACAAAGGGAAAAAACACCATCTTTTTAATGTTTAAGAACAAGATTTTAGAAACTTTCTTTTTTTTTTTTTTTTTTTTGAGAGATTCTTTTTAAAATTACTTTTGTGCTGATGGAAGAGAAAGTGCCACATTTATCTCAACTGTTGTAACACACACAGCAAACCAACCCCTGTACAAATTCTGCCCATTCTTTTTGAGCAGGTCATAGATTTATCAAGTACTTTCCTTGACTTGCTCATAGCTAAATGGAAGAATCATGTTGCTTTGTGTATCTTGAACATTTTTAAGCTGGCAAGAGGCTAAACAACTTCTTTATGTGTGTAGAAACAGCATGAACAGCTCATGTTGTTCAGTTTATGTCTTAGGCAAGATTACTGAGAATAATGCAAAAGAATACTGAGACAGGGACTTCTGCATCTTGAACAAAATGCACCAATCCAAACTTCTTCCTGGATGATTTACATGCATCAGGTGGTAGTGAGAGAGAAAGAGTATCAAGATCTGCCAGAACTGCCACCTTAATATCACAACCCAAAAGCAGGTGAAGGTATTGAAAGGTACCAAAGTGCCACCTATTCCTTTTCATCCTTGGCTGTATGACAGGTGTGGGGATGATGTACATCATGAGAAGGGACTGGTAGACAACACTTCCCCTCTACACATCAGAGGTGTGAAAGGCACTGTAGCTTTTGGAGGCAAAAGCCACTGATGTTCTTGAGGGGATGATACAATTGTGCAGTTGCCTGAATTGAGAGCTGTGCTTACAGGCCCCAAGAGAATCCATCACTCCTGCCTGTCTAGTTCCCAGCTTAAAAGTAGCTTTGGTACTGATTTCCATAAAAACATCCATTGCTTAGCATAATAGTCATGGGCTGCAGAGGTGAATACCCCTGGCTCTGCCTTTTTGCTTTGCAAAGTTCTCACACATATGGTGGCTTTAGTTCTTCTTGGAGCACTGCCTGGGGTGGTGTCACTGTTCCCAATGTGAAACAGACTGTAATTTGCACAGGCTGTTCCTCAAACTTTTATAGAAGAATAAAAGTTTGGATTTGTTTCCATCACTGAAGTGTCTGGAAAAAGAAAGGAAAAATGATTAAGAGCTTTAAACATTCAAAAAGTGAAGAAGAGGGAAAAAGCTGGAGCAAATAGAAGAAAAAAAGTAAATAGCAGAAACTGCCTAAAAGAGGACTGCATTTAGAGACAACAAGGTTTAAACTTTGTGGTCTTATGTGCACGTCTTACCACAGGAACATTTCAAAACTAGGGCCTGGACTTTGGGCCTCGCAGACCTTAGAACAGTTCTAGAATGGGGTGCAATTGACAAGTGTTATGGAAACAGAGGGAAACATAAATAGCTATAGTTTGTCTTCATGAAACTGTCGGAAATTTGTCCACAAAAGAAAAATATACTACTACAAATATACAAAATATACAAAAGAAAAAACCACAAAAGAAAATGTACTGCATTTGTTTTAATGGTACACCTGAACTCAGCAAGCAGTTCTTGAGGTCAGAAGCAATACCTTTACACATTTACACATTTACTAATTGAAAATAAAAATATAACTACAACTTTAGTCCTGGTCTTTCCCTGTGCATGGTAGATGGTACTGCATTTAGTCTGCAATTAATAAACAGGTATATGGTCACATGAATGTTGAAATTTTAAATCAGCTATCTGCAGTTATAAAAGAGAGAGGTTTTATTCTACACCTCTAGAACATTTGGTGTGGCTTTGGTTTATTTGTCTACAAGAAGAGGAAACCACTTTTACAGTACATTCTGTATTTGCAAAACAAGCACATTTAATTTTAGGAAAAAAACTTACTGTGAAGTGAGGGAAGCTTGACATTTTTTCTAAAAGTCAAGGCAGGCAAAGTGAGAGGTTAGAAGCTGGTCCTTGAGCTTCTAAATGTCAGATTTGCCAAGACCTTCACAAAATCCTGCAAATACAAAATATGTTGTAAACATTAACAATGGGACAAGAAAATAACAATATATCAAATACACATGCAAAGGTTCTGAGAGTTTGCTGAACCTCTTGCAGTTACGACAAGCAAAGGAAGCACAGGGAAAGAGGAAGAAAAAAAGGTGTAAAAACATGGTATCCAACAAAGGGAGGTTAACCTCACATGCTGTTCATACTTTGTTACTCTGTAAGGTGAGGGGACCCACAGGCAGAGAGCTTTGAGTATGTTACTCCTTTTTGTCCAAAGAAAAAGGGAAATTTAGAGAAGTAAAGGAAATTCCTCCCAATATGTAATTAGGAAGCATGCCAGACAGCATGCATGCATCTAAGTCTTTCAAATTAGTGCCTTAGAGGACATCTTTTTCCTGATGTGAACTATCTGGGAAATGCAGTAAATATCTTTTACTAGAACCTACCAGGCAATGAACTGACACAGGGATTCACTGGGCAAAATTTAAGGTTTATCTGTGCTGACAATCCTGCAGATTTTAAGGTTAGAGGTTTTTGGCTAAAACTGTAGTGGACAGGCAAACACTTTTAAATCTGAACGTCCAATCTTTATGAATCCAGCGAGCATTTTGGAAACAATCATTTGACATCCATATTACAACCTACCCACTTGTTGCTGGGCTTTGGGCACTCTGGGCTCCCTCCATGGAACTCCAGACTTGTGGTTACATCTGTGTGGTGGCTCCCAGGAATTCTTTTTTGATAATACATAATTCAGCCTTTTTAAAAGAGCCTGTGACCCTTTGAAATTCTGTGGTAGTCAGTACTGCTGAGTATAGAAGTCATGAAAAGGAATGAATCCTTTTGGAATGATCCTGTTTTCAGGATTGCTGGCATCCATACAGACAAGGACGAGTGAGGGAAGTGGCAGACTGCCACTTGGTTTATTGCTGGCAGTCCTGTTTGAGGAGCAGGAACTGGCCAATTGAGCCAGTTCACATTAAATTTCTTCAGGCTGCTCAATTTATTTAAATGCGATACTGGTGGGATACATCCTGAGGATGACCAACAGTGATGTCAGAACTTCACAGTAAGGAAAGCTTCTGTGGCGAAGAAGGGAATGAGCTGTGTGCTGTTTATGAACAATTATGCAATTGACCCATTTAATATCTTACAGTAAATCAGTAGGGGCTCTTGTGGGACGAAACCCTCAGCAAATTAACAATGTGTAGTGACCTTGACAAATGAAAACCCTGAGAGCTGGGCTAAGCATACAGTCATTGAGAAAGCAGTGGGGATACTAATAAGTGGCATTTATTAGCCTAACTCCACAAGGACTGACAAATCCTCTTCTCCCCATTCCTAAGCCTACAAAAAAAAGGAAAACAAGACAAAGGGGGGTCAGGAGGAGGCTGAGGGCTGTCCGTGCCCTCTGAAAGAGGGATATGTAGAGGGGCATGCTTAAGAAAGACACCAACACTACAGTAAGCCTAGAAATAAAACAACCAGAAGTAAAATTTCTGATGTTTCCCAACAATGCGGGCCAAAACATGGTTCCTGTTTGAACCATTCAGAGACTTAGGTTAGGGTTATACTTGATTCTGAAAAGGCAGCCTTTCAGTCAAGTTTTGATTGAGGGGACTCTATGGAATCACTAAAGAGTGCACTGCACTTGTCTGGCTAATGGAGCATGAGAGAAGTGAAGCTGATGGTGGTCAAAGGAGCAGCACACTACAAATTAAAGGAACTGGCTCAAGTGGAAATGAACACCACTGAGTGAGCAGAGAACTGTAGTACTCAAGGTTATCCGTGTGTACAGATCATTTCACTGTCAAACTGAAGATCGTTAAACATGCCTAACTCTTAGATAACTAAATTGAGGTTAAAGTTGTCATTTATGCCAAGCAAAGACAAATTCTAGTAAAACAACAAACTAACAAAACCCAAGCAAGCCCTTCATCACATTTTGGGCAGCGTCACTGAAATTCGAGGTCAACCAACAACAAAATAACCACATGTATAAATCCTTAGAACACTACTTTAAAGGGAAAGTATGCATTAGGTTCACCTAGTTATGAAAAGAACATATTGCTGCCCGTGATTGTAATTTTTGAAAATTATGTTCTTTTCAGTGTTAACATGTTTATCTTGAACTACATTATTAACATACATTGGTAAATGTATGCTTGCACCAATCTATTTCCAGTCTTGGGTTAGGACTAATGTACGTGACAGAATCTAAGTGTTAGGAAAGTGACATCATTCCATCTTCTGCCAACAGGTCAGCTTTTGAAAAAGCATAAGGAATAATACATATGCTTCTGATATTCAACAATCTGTCAAAAAAAAGGTTTATGTTGTTTTGAGTCCTCCTGAAATTGCATCACATTAACATCAAACCTCAAAAACATTTGTCGTGCTGGTAAGAAAATGAAGACCTAGATGGAAATGGATATAGGTTTAAAAGAAAGGAAAACCTTCTCTTTTATTGCTTTTAATCTTCTAACTTCAATTAAAATGATTTCTAAGAGAGATGCCAGAGGCCGCCTGAAGGAAATACATTTTCTGTTGACAACAGTGGTGACTATATTTTATTCATATTTGTGGTTTGATGGGCTTATTTACTTGGGTGCATACAAAACCTCAAATGATAGATTAGATTATTAATTCTTTTTGTTTACACAATGAGTAAACATAATAGCATTCCTGCTGATACTGCCACTGATTTTTATTTACTTTCCAGAGTATGATGCATAGTGAAGTTTTACAACACATAGTTCATTTGGGCCTTGCTTTACTTCTGCTTTTACCTGAACCCCCTTCCACTTGAAAGCACGTGGCTCAAGGAATCTGTGGATTTGTGATTGTGTAACCTGCCACTAAACGTTACATCTTTACATCCCTGAGTTGTGGACCAGGTGGGATATGTCATCCAGACATTTTCTATTCCTAGAATGCTAGAAATAAGCCAGAACTATCTTGGTTGGATCTCTTTTTCTTCCTGGAGATTTACCACAGTAGAAAAAGAAGGACCTGCAGAATAATTCAGAATAATTTATACCTACACAATACTGTATTCTTTGGGGTTTTTTCTACATCTTTTTGCAAATGGAATAGTGAATTACCAGGAACACAGATATGATTAACTGGTTCTTCAGGCAGTCAGATTACCAGGGAAAATAGAGACAAAGGTAAATCAGACTGGGAAAAATATTCAAAAATATTCTACTGGGAAAGTTTCAAAAAGGGAAAACAAAAAGCCTTTCACTGAGCATGCTGTGAAACCTGAAATATTTGAAAACAACCTAATCAGACTGATCATATCACAGGTGTTTCATTAAAACTTTATGTGGTCAATATATGAGTGAAACATTCTGGATTCCCACCCATAAGTACTCCTGAATATTTCTTTCTAACTCTGATTTCTGAAGTGATATATACCTTTCTTTATGTTTACTTTTGGGTTCCTGCAGCTTTCTTCTGCTAAATGTTGAGCCAGCTTAATTTTCCAAACATAAAATGGCCTTCTGAACTTTCCAGCTTGTTGGGAAAATGAATATTTTAACAGTACTGTCAAATAACTGCAGGCCAAGTATTTCCAAAGCTTTGCCTCTCAAACAGCCATAAAAATAAAAATAGCCAATCACAGAAATGGCTGTAGACCTCCAAAAGTTTTCCATTTCAGTGTTTTCACCTTCCTCTGAGTGGCTCATGATAGAGGAGAAGAAAACAGCAGCAGCAGGAAAAAAAAAGGAGAAAAGGGAGACGGGCAGAACTGACTGTAATTCAAAAAAAAAGAAGTCATTGTGGATATAGGAGTGGGGGATGCTGAAATGTGACCAAGAACTGACATTTATGGTTCCTTAGTTCTCTATATGAAACATTAATGTACTCTGGATCAGTGGATAAATGAATGAAGAGGGAAGACAGAAGAATGAAGCATGGAAACAAGAACCACCCAGGTCAAGGTGATTACCAGTAAAATTGCTCCTCCTTTTGTACTTGCTCTTTCAGTGATTAGCTTTTGCCATTAATTTAATCCAAGATGACACAGTGCTGCACAGTAGCCTCCGTATCAGTCTGATCCAATGGCAGAATCCAAGGAGCACAAAGCACAACTGGCCCTCAGGTGCTCTAGGGATGCACACAGTCCAGTTATGGCTCATGGGTGAGACATGGGATACATGAAATGGATGTTCTACAGGCCTTTCAGCATTAATTAGGCTGTTGCATACTGATCTGTGATGACAGCACATTCTACAATGCATTTCAAAAATCTGTGGTGACTGCAAAAACAAATATAATTCTAACATTTGATTTGCAAATATTTGGTGCAAGTGAAGAACAATTCTATAATATCCACTGTGATGCCTTCTTATTAAATTCATTAAGTGTGGATATATTTTAGATCTGTACGTATTTGCATAATGAGCATACTTGATAAATAATTACTAAGTTACAGTTAATTGTCCAATTAATTATGAGAAAATAAATTTGAAGAGTTGAAATTGAGAAGTCTTACAAGTTTTAGCAAGAAGACGTGAAGAGCAGAAGAAAGGAAAAGGTAAATTCAATTAAAATGCCATCTAAGTCAACTTCATAATTTTTAAGATGGTGAGGAGGGGTAGGCAGCTTGCATCCTACTGCTGTGAGATACTTCTCTGCCATTGAGATTTCTAACACCATTAGCTCTGATCCTCTGAACCTTTGCACAGTAGCTCTGTCTATTCCACAGAGACCATTAGTCTCACTGAACTCGGCCTGCTTTCCCTGAGGGAGGTTTGCACACATAAACAGAGATGCTTGAAAGCTTCTCTGTTTAATAATACATCATTGCTTTCTATAAATTGGAGCATTTTCATTCATTTTTGCAGGCTAAACATAGGGCTTATAGCAAATACAGCTAGATGACGAGTACCTATGTGATGGTGCTTCTGGCACTGCCCTCAGCTCTGATGGCCCTTATTTGACAGATCTGTCAGCAGCAGACTTCAGACCAAATTCTACCAAAAGCAAGAGCCTAGTGATTTTACTGAGTTACAGGTGCCTTAGTAGCTCTTGAAGTATGCTATTTTCTTGTATGTGCTCAAATTACCTGGATGTAAAACAAACTCCCCAAAACAAAGTTGTAAAACATTTTTTCATAGTTACATGGCATTCTTTGAGATGCTGAGGTGGTTTGGTGATGGAAGGGTTATGGAATGCTCAGAAATTCACCAAAAATGTTTCTTTATGTACTTAAATTAATCCCTAGTCCTTGATCCCAATCAGAGCCAAACTCATCGGCTCCGGCATGGCTGAAAGCAGTGCAAGGACGAGGATGGAGAATCTCCTGGTGTCACCACAAGAGGTCTTTCCCCAGCCAGGCACTGCCAGCAGGTCCCAGATGGCAGTGACAGTTGCTCCTCTGGGCTCAACTGAGCTGCACTGAAATCAGCATCTGAGCAAGCCTGGGCAGTTATTAGGGTCCTTGGCAGATTTAAGAAATGTCAGGCTTTTATACAAGGCTGTTAGGAGAGCCTCAGAGGCTTTTGAATTCACAGACATTTGCCCCTGTAGCCACGCGGCCAGCAGCCCCAGCCATACAGCTCTTTCCCATCTCGTTTTATGGTGGCACGTGAATATTTGTCCCTGGTTATTTACGGATAAAAAGGTGGCATTTCACGGGACACTCGGTCTCCCGTCTTTGAGGTGGAGGATCAGTTCTTTGCCGAGCTCTTCCTCTCTGTACCACTTGATGGCACACTTGCATAGCACACTGCAGGCTGAAGGCAAGAGAAATCCACATGCAAATCCTGTTCAAAGTTGTTCCACTTAATTTGTTCTGCATCATGAATGTACCTGTTTAATTGATTAAAGAAATCTAACACTGTAGTATTGAGTAGGAATAAGCAGGGCATACAAAATAATTACATCAAGAAAGCCCTGTATTTTGCAATTTTAATCCCAGAAGTTTGCCTGGATAATTCATTACTTCAGTAAGTTTGGTAAGAAACTTGCCTTTGTCTTGCCAAACCTTACCGTGCAAGCGGGACAACTTTTCCTTGCCCAATATTTTATTCTTCCTTCTAGAAGGTTTGTAGCAGGTTTGCTCATTGCATGTGTTCATGGGTGCTCCAGGGTTTTCTTTTGTCCTTTCAGTTCAAAAGAAATAATGAATTGCTGTTGAAACTAAACAGCTATGCCTTCTGTTTGGCTAAACTGTAGGTGGAAATTAGTTTACGTCCTTGGAGTAATAAAATTATGATTCAATTTCATATCAAAGTAACATTCTCCAGTGGTCTATTTGAGTTTAGTAATGCGTATTAAATGTTGTCACATATGCCACTTCTCTCTGCATGATTATACATACATCAGTGAATGCTGCAGATGGCTGCAGACCACAGGTAGAAACAACGTGCTGGTCTGTTGGATTTTATGACTTCATGAAGAAAGCATTGAAACATTTATCAGCTCTTTATGGGCAGAATCTTAATGGAAAAATGTAAATTACCACAGCCTGAAGTTAAAAAATTTCAGGGACTGGGGTGAAATGTGTAGAGAGTGGCTGACTGTCACAGGAGCACCTGCTGTTCAAGGGCTGGGATCCAGGTTCTGAAGGGGAACCTCAAGGGGGAAACTGGAAGCACTTCAGTACAAATTAATGAGTGCCAAGTGACCCTTGTAAAAAGGGTCTACTAAATTAAAGCCTAAATCCCACCACCATTTCTTACAAAAACTTTATCTGGTCCACAATGCAGTAGCTAAAATTATTTCCTGGCCACGACTTTAACTGTCTCTTTGATGCTTCATCAGCTCTTCAAGGGCTGAATTAGCAAGGGCAGACTTCTTGCCTTTGTTCTCTAATTATCCTTGTTTAACTTAGTGACTTTCTTCCCCTCCTCCCCCAGCACTGCTTCCCTACTCCTTCAAATGCACGGGTAAAAGATGAGCTGGATGTTTAAACCAGGGAGAGTTCATGCTTTTTATTTTTCCTGAAAAAATGGAGAGCAGAGTGGGAGCTTCATAAATAAGTGTCATGGGTAGGTAGCACCTGGGAGGTTGTGAAGCGTACACTGTCCTGACTTCCTCCATTACCCACTGAATTGCATTGGCAGTGATAATTGCAGCTTCAGGAAAAATAACTGCTAAACAATGATAGCAGTAAAGCCCTACAGCCTTTCTCAATTAAATTAAGTGGAAATTTAGTCCTTGAGTACTACTTCTGAAGCGGGCTGAGCAGAATGAGAGCAAGCACCTGGTGGGCTGCAGGGTAGCGTAGGGCAGGAGAAACACTGCTGGCTTTGCCCTGTGACCACTGTCCCTGTGCCCCACCTGAAAAGTCAGTGTCCACCTCTGCCCTAGAGCTAATGTTGGCATGGGAATAAAAACAACAGATTGCAGGCTAAATCTGCTCTAACAGAGGCCATGTAAGCTGGTGAATTTAGGGGAAGGCCAGTGCCACCTCTGTAGCCATCATTTCTCTTCTGGTTTTGCATCAGCAGCTTGTGCTTCCACCATTACTCATTTGTCTCAGCTGCAACCTCTTGATCTTTGAAGGCTATTTTGGTATTGTTAGAATGTCCTTTCTACCTCATTTA